AAACTGCTAACAGCCCAAGATTGTAATTTACTCCCTCTTTGATGGTATATGACTGACTTTGCCAGTTCATCAGTTCTATCACGTAACTGAAGCCCTATGTGTGTGTGTGTGGAATAGGTAATTCTCACGCAATAGTAATTCCCGCTTTGCAGGAATGAAACCTTTGAAGTTGCCGTAGTTACTGAACCCATAGTGGAATACTTGGCGATATTCTAATTGTCCTACTGAAGTCTCCCAGCTCAGGCTGACACATTTCATTACCATACGTAAGAAAAAATATAGGAAATCTATCCTTTGAGAATGAAACTCTTATACAACATATGGAAATCTTTATTAACGAAACGTTTCGCCACTATGTGACTTCATTAGCCCAATACAAAGAAGAACGGTATAAAGAAAGGGGGGTTCTGAGGTAAACAGTTCCTCAGCCTGGAATCCATGTGTTCATTCCATCAATCTTGAAGAATGTACAGCATGTACATATATATTGTAGTCAGGTGAGTCAAAGGAGGAGCAGGGAGAGTCACAGTGGAACCATCCACTAGTGCAGAGGTCGGGGAATCAGGGTAAATTACCCCAAATGGGATAAAATTGAAAATCTCTGGGGTAATGAAGGCTCAAACAAAAAAAAAATGAACAAAAAAATATTTAATAAGCAAGGCAAATTATGAAAGTTACATTTAAAACAAAAATTAGTTTCTTAGTAAAGTTCAAAGTCTAATTTGTAGGGACCAGTTCTTAAGTTGGCAATAAAGTAAAACGGGTAAGGATTCCAGCAGGTGATAACATCGCAAGTGTCAGCATTGACTCGGGAGCTGGCATGACAACCGCAAGCCCCATTGTCAACACCACCATTCAATTCAATTCAATTCAATTTGGCCTAATGTTTTCTCCTGCTATTAATAACTGTCTCTGCTTGCAGTTAATAGAAGTTAGTAGGTTTAAAACTATCGACGACCAAGTTAAGCTAGTGTTCTGTCACTTTTATTAGGTGTGTATATTTAATATTTATTTTTATTTTATACAATTTATTAGAATTTTTGTATGCAATTATGATTATTTGTAATGTTTATACAGTAATATAAAGTTTGCCAGTTTCTATTATTTTTTAATTCTATTTTTCGTGATTTCTGTATCCCCGTTTTTCAATCATTTTCACTTTTCCTTCAAATGACTCACAACAGGAAAACGACACACAGGATAAGATCTCCTCAGTTTATGGCCTCACAGAAATAGAATTTGGAATGCTCCTTATGTTTTCCGGATCTAGGACTTTATCAAGTGCACATATTGGTTTGGTTAATACCCAAGAAAACACACTCTGTGGTGCTCCCACAGTGAAACTATCACACAGGATAAGATCACAGCACACTGTGGGTGTTCCCACAGTGTAACTATCACACAGGATAAGATCACAGCACACTGTGGGTGTTCCCACAGTGTAACTATCACACAGGATAAGATCACAGTACACTGTGGGTGTCCCACAGTGGTAACTATCACACAGGATAAGATCACAGTACACTGTGGGTGTTCCCACAGTGTAACTATCACACAGGATAAGATCACAGTACACTGTGGGTGTTCCCACAGTGTAACTATCACACAGGATAAGAACACAGTACACTGTGGGTGTTCCCACAGTGTAACTATCACACAGGATAAGAACACAGTACACTGTGGGTGCTCCCACAGTGTAACTATCACACAGGATAAGATAACAGTACACTGTGGGTGTTCCCACAGTGTAACTATCACACAGGATAAGATCACAGTACACTGTGGGTGCTCCACAGTGTGAACTATCACACAGGATAAGAACACAGTACACTGTGGGTGTCCCCACAGTTAACTATCACACAGGATAAGACACAACACTGTGTGTGTTCCCACATTGTAACTATCACAGATAAGAACACAACACACTGTGGGTGCTCCCACAGTGTAACTATCACACAGGATAAGATCACAGTACACTGTGGGTGTTCCCACAGTGTAACTATCACACAGGATAAGAACACAGTACACTGTGGGTGCTCCCACAGTGTAACTATCACACAGAATAAGAACACAACACACTGTGTGTGTTCCCACAGTGTAACTATCACACAGAATAAGAACACAACACACTGTGTGTGTTCCCACAGTGTAACTATCACACAGGATAAGAACACAGTACACTGTGGGTGTTCCCACAGTGCAACTATCACACAGAATAAGAACACAACACACTGTGTGTGTTCCCACAGTGTAACTATCACACAGGATAAGAACACAGTACACTGTGGGTGTTCCCACAGTGCAACTATCACACAGAATAAGAACACAACACACTGTGGGTGTTCCCACAGTGTAACTATCACACAGAATAAGAACACAACACACTGTGGGTGTTCCCACAGTGTAACTATCACACAGGATAAGATCACAGTACACTGTGGCTGTTCCCACAGTGTAACTATCACACAGAATAAGAACACAACACACTGTGGGTGTTCCCACAGTGTAACTATCACACAGGATAAGATCACAGTACACTGTGGGTGTTCCCACAGTGTAACTATCACACAGAATAAGAACACAGTACACACTGTGGTGTTCCACAGTGTAACTATCACACAGATAAGAACACAGTACACTGTGGGTGTTCCCACAGTGTAACTATCACACAGGATAAGATCACAGTACACTGTGGGTGTTCCCACAGTGCAACTATCACACAGAATAAGAACACAGTACACTGTGGGTGTTCCCACAGTGTAACTATCACACAGAATAAGAACACAACACACTGTGGGTGTTCCCACAGTGTAACTATCACACAGGATAAGATCACAGTACACTGTGGGTGTTCCCACAGTGCAACTATCACACAGAATAAGAACACAGTACACTGTGGGTGTTTTCCCACAGTGTAACTATCACACAGAATAAGAACACAGTACACACTGTGGGTGTTCCCACAGTGTAACTATCACACAGGATAAGATCACAGTACACTGTGGGTGTTCCCACAGTGTAACTATCACACAGGATAAGATCACAGTACACTGTGGGTGTTCCCACAGTGCAATCTATCACACAGAATAAGAAACACAGCTACCACTGTGGGTGTTCCCACAGTGTAACTATCACACAGAATGAGAACACAACACACTGTGGGTGTTCCCACAGTGTAACTATCACAACATGGATAAGATCACAGTACACTGTGGGTGTTCCCACAGTGTAACTATCATACAGGATAAGATCACAGTACACTGTGGGTGTTCCCACAGTGTAATTATCACACAGAATAAGAACACAACACACTGTGGGTGTTCCCACAGTGTAACTATCACACAGAATAAGAACACAACACACTGTGGGTGTTCCCACAGTGTAACTATCACACAGGATAAGATCACAGTACACTGTGGGTGTTCCCACAGTGCAACTATCACACAGAATAAGAACACAGTACACTGTGGGTGTTCCCACAGTGTAACTATCACACAGAATAAAGAACACAACCACTGTGGGTGTTCCCACAGTGTAACTATCACACAGAATAAGATCACAGCACACTGTGGGTGTTCCCACAGTGCAACTATCACACAGAATAAGATCACAGCACACTGTGGGTGTTCCCACAGTGTAACTATCACACAGAATAAGAACACAACACACTGTGGGTGTTCCCACAGTGTAACTATCACACAGAATAAGAACACAACACACTGTGGGTGTTCCCACAGTGTAACTATCACACAGGATAAGATCACAGTACACTGTGGGTGTTCCCACAGTGCAACTATCACACAGAATAAGAACACAGTACACTGTGGGTGTTCCCACAGTGTAACTATCACACAGAATAAGAACACAACACACTGTGGGTGTTCCCACAGTGTAACTATCACACAGGATAAGATCACAGTACACTGTGGGTGTTCCCACAGTGTAACTATCACACAGGATAAGATCACAGTACACTGTGGGTGTTCCCACAGTGTAACTATCACACAGAATAAGAACATAGTACACTGTGGGTGTTCCCACAGTGTAACTATCACACAGGATAAGATCACAGTACACTGTGGGTGTTCCCACAGTGCAACTATCACACAGAATAAGAACACAACACACTGTGGGTGTTCCCACAGTGTAACTATCACACAGAATAAGATCACAGCACACTGTGGGTGTTCCCACAGTGCAACTATCACACAGGATAATATCACAGCACACTGTGGGTGTTCCCACAGTGCAACTATCACACAGAATAAGATCACAGCACACTGTGGGTGTTCCCACAGTGTAACTATCACACAGAATAAGATCACAGCACACTGTGGGTGTTCCCACAGTGTAACTATCACACAGGATAAGATCACAGTACACTGTGGGTGTTCCCACAGTGTAACTATCACACAGGATAAGATCACAGTACACTGTGATTGCATTAATTTTTATAAATAAAGTTCTTGTTCACAGTGCATTCACACTTCTCATTTATTACCTCCTTTTCTGTCCCATCTCTCCACCTCTTCCATTCCCTTTTACCTCCCCTTCCACCCCATCACAGGGAGTCAGTAAAGCTTTCCATGTTACCCACCACCCTCCCCCCTTTATCCCTCGCCCTCCACACCCCTTCGTTCCTCACTTATCAACTTCCTTCCTCAACCCCAACTCTTGGTCAACCTCCAACGGGCTGTTGTTGGACATGAAGCCACTTGTCATGTTTACTGGGTAAGAGACTGTGAGAGAGGTTGTGTGTTGGTGGCATCACTACCACCACAACACCTGCTCTCTTGCTCACCATGGTGAGCTGATGCACTGCACCCAAGGAAAAATATTGATAGTTGAAGACCCACAACAATCTCTTACCCCCCCCCCCCTCCGCCATTCCTCTCTCTCTCTCTCTCTCTCTCTCTCTCTCTCTCTCTCTCTCTCTCTCTCTCTCTCTCTCTCTCTCTCTCTCTCTCTCTCTCTCTCTCTCTCCTCTCTCTCTCTTTCTCTCTCTCTCTTCCCCCAAAGTTAGTCTCCATTCCCCTCCTCCTTCTCTCCTCTGCATCCCTTCAACGTTCCTCTGCCCCTCCCTCCTTCCCTCCATCTGGAACAACACAGGCCGAACAGTGTCATGGGCTTTATCTTGTGGTACACAGTCGTCCAGTGGCAGTATGGAGGGAAGAAGTTGTTAGTTTATCTCCTCACCCTCTTCTTCACCTCTATTCTCTCCCTCTTCCATAAATCTTCCTTCCCTTTCCCTTCCTCCTCTTGCCTCCTTCCCGGCACTTCCCCCTTGCACCTCCACTGGCTGCTCCCCTCCCCCCCCTGAAACAGTAGCTCCTCCCTTCCACGCTGGCCCTGGCTCCTCCCTCATGAGGAGGCACTCTGCCTGGAGGCACTCCGGCCTACATCAGCGGCACCGCCATCACCAGCACTCTATTGTCAACTTTGACCTCGAAGTGACCTAAAGTGGTGCGTGTAGGGGGTTCCCGACGAGCCTAGCCAGGGTCAGGGACTTCACAGCAGTGACCTCAGTGACCCTGGGCAGTGTCTTATGAACCTCCTGGGAACACAGGGTCAGACTGACGCTGAGGCATACAATATACAACTGTCTACACCCTATGTACACACTGTGTGCAGTGAACATACACTCTATGTGCACTAAATACACACTGTGTACACACCATATATACACACACACACACTGTTTAATACATGTCGTGAACTATGAGCAAAAAAATTCAGCTTCGTCCTTCACAATGTTATTTTTTTAACGAGGTTATTTGTGATTAGCGCCACTAACTGGTTAAATTATATGGTGTTACATAACGGTAACGACCCCATCCCTCCGTATGTAACGCTAGTAGTGTGTAACACTAGTGTCACGGCCACCATGCGCGTGTAACACTAGTGTCACGGCCATCGTGTGTAACACTAGTGTCACGGCCACCATGTGCGTGTAACACTAGTGTCACGGCCATCGTGTGTAACACTAGTGGCACGGCCACCATGTGCGTGTAACACTAGTGTCACGGCCATCGTGTGTAACACTAGTGGCAAGGCCACCTTGTGTGTGTAACAATTGTGTCACGGCCACCGTGTAACACTAGTGTCACCTCCATCGCGTGTAACACTAGTGTCACGGCCCCTTGTGTGTAACACTATTGTCACGGCCGCCACGTAACACTGGCGTCACGGCCGCAGTGTAACACTAGTTTAACGGCCACTTTTTATGTAACACTGGTGTAACGGAATCCGTGTGTGTGTAACACTGGTGTCACGCCACCGTGTAACACTAGTGTCACGGCCACCGTGTGTAACACTAGTGTCACGGCCACCGTGTGTAACACTAGTGTCAATGCCACCGTGTGTAACACTAGTGTCACGGCCACCGTGTGTAACACTAGTGTCAACGCCCCCGTGTGTAACACTAGTGTCACGGTCACTGTGTGTGAAAGTAACACTTGTGCCAGGGCCACCGTGTGTGTAACACTATTGTCAGGGACACCGTGTGTGTAACACTAGTGTCACGGCCACCGTGTAACACTATTGTCACAGCCACGGTTTGTGTAACGCCAGTGTCACGGCCACCGTGTGTGTAACGCTAGTGTCACGGCCACTGTGTGTGAAAGTAACACTTGTGTCACGGCCACTGTGTGTGTAACACTAGTGTCACGGCCACCGTGTGTGTAACACTAATGTAACAGTCCCAGTGTGCAGGACAGTGACACTATGTTAGAGAAGGACAGTGACACTATGTTAGGGCAGGACAGTGACACTATGTTAGGGCAGGACAGTGACACTATTTTAGGGCAGGACAGTGACACTATTATGACAGGGCAATGACACTATGTTAGGGCAGGACAGTGGCACTAAGTTGGGCAGGACAGTGGCACTGCGTTAGGGCAGGACAGTGACACTGTTAGGGCAGGGCAGTGACACTATGTTAGGGCTGGACAGTGATACTATGTTAGGGCAGGGCAGTGGCACTATGTTAAGGCAGGACAGTGACACTATGTTAATGAAGGCCAGTGACACTGTTAGGGCAGAGCAGTGGCACTCTGTTAGGGACGGACAGTGGCACTGTGTCAGAGCAGGACAGTGACATTATGTTAAGGAAGGACAGTGACGTAATGTTAGGGCAGGACAGTGGCACTATGTTAGGGCAGGACAGTGACACTATGTTAGGGCGGGACAGTGGAACTATGTTAGGGCAGGACAGTGACACTATGTTAGGGCGGGACAGTGGAACTATGTTAGGGCAGGACAGTGACACTATATTAGGGCAGGACAGTGGCACTATGTTAGGGCAGGACAGTGGCACTATGTTAGGGCAGGACAGTGGCGGCGCTGTGTCAGGGTGGAAAGCACCTCACAACCAGCTGTAGACATACCAACCACTGCATTCGTGCTCTGCACTTGATTTATATGCATCAAATTCTTCGTGTTTAGGGCCCAGAAGATCTGAACCCAGACGACCATAGCCAGCCAGGAAGCACCGGATCAAGCCCAACTGATGATACTAACTTCGGAACACTTCCCTCTCGCCTTTTATTATTGATAAATAATGAGAGGCAGGAAATAATGCCAGTGCAGTAAACTCAAGGAATGTGAGAACTGACAGTTCAGAAATGTGTTGGAGAAGAAAGTGGAAGATTGTCCACGTGAACTAACTCGGGGTACAAGACAGGGATGCGAGCTGGAAACTTAGACGTCAGACGAACACAGAAGACGTCGTCAGGCGAATACAGGAGACGTCAGACGAACACAGGAGACGTCAGACGAACACAGGAGACGCCAGAGAAACACAGGAGACGTCATAGAAACACAGGAGAGGTCAGACAAACACAGGAGACGTCAGAGAAACACAGAAGACGTCACAGAAACATAGGAGTGGTCACACGAACGCAGGAGACGTCAGACGAACAAAGGAGACGTCTGAGAAACACAGGAGACGTAAGAGAAATGCAAGACATATTATTAAATATACACACCACAAGTCAACCAAGCAATGGATATCAACCAGACTCGGTAGACACCAACCAGACGCAGTAGACACCAACCAGACGCAGCAGGCACCAACCAGACGCAGTAGACACCAACCAGACGCAGTAGACACCAACCAGACGCAGCAGGCACCAACCAGACGCAGTAGACACCAACCAGACGCAATAGACACCAGCCAGATACAGTAGACACCGACTAGAGGCAGTAGACACCAGCCAGAAGCAGTAGACATCAGACAGACACAGTAGACACCAACTAGACGCAGTAGGCACCAGCCAGAATCAGCAGACACCAACCAGACGTAGTAGACGCCAACCAGACACAGTAGACACCAACCAGACGCAGTAGACATCAACCAGACACAGTAGACACCAACCAGACGCAGTAGACACCAACCAGACACAGTAGACATCGAGCAGACAGCGGCTTGACAGCAGGAGATATTAAGCAGAAGGTGATCAGCGTCTCTCAGCCGTGTAACCCTCATCATGGAAGACAAGATGGTGGAAGGCAGCAGCGGTGGGGGGTTCCCTGACGCCCATTTTCGTGGGCTGCGGGCTGGCGTGGGCGTGAACATGGGCGGGTACTCCATCAACGGCCTCTTGACGCCTGCTACCCAGCCTGATCAAGGACCTGGCCTGCTACCCAACCTCACTCCTGTGAAGTACGGTGAGTGAGAAAGAGAAAATATTATTATTATTATTATTATTATTATTATTATTATTATTATTATTATTATTATTATTATTATTATTATTATTACTATTTAGCACTAATAATAATAATAATCATGTGATTTCATATGCACGTATACAAAAAATACACATACACACACAATAAAACACACAGACACGAGAATACACACACAAACACGCAACAACACACACAACCGTTCTGACCATCTCTTACTCTTAACCACTGCGTGCTAAAGGAATAACAGGAAAAGTCGGTCGATGGATCTATAATTTCCTCACTAACAGAACACAGAGAGTAGTCGTCAACAGAGTAAAGTCCGAGGCAGCTACGGTGAAAAGCTCTGTTCCACAAGGCACAGTACTCGCTCCCATCTTGTTCCTCATCCTCATATCCGACATAGACAAGGATGTCAACCACAGCACCGTGTCTTCCTTTGCAGATGACACCCGAATCTGCATGACAGTGTCTTCCATTGCAGACACTGCAAGGCTCCAGGCGGACATCAACCAAATCTTTCAGTAGGCTGCAGAAAACAATATGAAGTTCAACGATGAGAAATTTCAATTACTCAGATATGGTAAACACGAGGAAATTAAATCTTCATCAGAGTACAAAACAAATTCTGGCCACAAAATAGAGCGAAACACCAATGTCAAAGACCTGGGAGTGATCATGTCGGAGGATCTCACCTTCAAGGACCATTACACTGTATCAATCGCATCTGCTAGAAAAATGACAGGATGGATAATGAGAGCCTTCAAAACTAGGGTGGCCAAGCCCATGATGACACTCTTCAGGTCACTTGTTCTATCTAGGCTGGAATATTGCTGCACACTAACAGCACCTTTCAAGGCAGGTGAAATTGCTGACCTAGAAAATGTAGAGAGAACCTTCACGCATAACGGAGATAAAACACCTCAATTACTGGGAGCGCTTGAAGTTCCTGAACCTGTACTCCCTGGAACGCAGGCGGGATATATGATTATATACACCTGGAAAATCTTAGAGGGACTAGTACCGAACTTGCACACGAAAATCACTCACTACGAAAGCAAAAGACTTGGCAGACGATGCAACATCCCCCCAATGAAAAGCAGGGGTGTCACTAGCACGTTAAGAGACCATACAATAAGTGTCAGGGGCCCGAGACTGTTCAACTGCCTCCCAGCATACATAAGGGGGATTACCAACAGACCCCTGGCAGTCTTCAAGCCGGCACTGGACAAGCACCTAAAGTCGGTTCCTGACCAGCCGGGCTGTGGCTCGTACGTTGGTTTGCGTGCAGCCAGCAGTAACAGCCTGGTTGATCAGGCTCTGATCCACCAGGAGGCCTGGTCACAGACCGGGCCGCGGGGGCGTTGAACCCCGGAACTCTCTCCAGGTAAACTCCAGGTAAACTGTGGTCATTAGAAGATAAAACTTGTTCAACTATCAAAACTTTGGGGCCCAGTCCCTGGACCCACTATGTACCTCTGTAATCTTTTGACCACCGCCTACAGGAGGGGTTGTGGTGTGGGTGTGAGGCACAGACTTCTGGCTCTGCAGCGAGGCGGATTCTAGAGGCTGTAGCTATGTCATGTTTGTGGGCATTTATAGAGCCCCTCTTAGCTCTTAAAATCTTGAGTTTTCCAATAAGCCAGCAGTCACACTGTTGTGGCTCGACATGGAGCCAATGGCTTCTAAATTCGTGTCAATGGTGGTAGACATGACCACCTGCAACACCTGCTGCTTGCTGTGCCCCAGCTGGTGTTAGTGGTTGTGGTAGACATGACTACATGCAGCACCTACTACTTGCCGCGCCCCAGCTGGTGTCAGTGGTGGTGATAGACATGTCCACCTGTAGCACCTGCTGCTTGCCGCGCCCCAGCTGGTGTTAGTGGTGCTGGTAGATATGACCACCTGCAACACCTGCTACTTGCCTCGCCCCAGCTAGTGTAAGAGGTGGTGGTAGACATGACCATCTGCAACACCTAGCCGCTCATCAGATACAGGCGGCCAACACCAGAGACATAATTCCCAGCGATTGTAATACCAACAGTCTTAGCAGAGTAAACACCTGAACGACGGCAAACTGATCTATAATTCAGGAATCTTTAATATTACGCGTCAAACATATCTTTGAGTGCTATGATGGCAAGCTTTTTTTCTTTTTTTGAGAAGGAAGGGCTTGGCAACTCCACAACAACCTGCTTCTCGCAAATCTCAGACCACTACGGTAACATTTCAGTCAATGAAACATAATAAATATGTAGGTGCAATATTAACATATGTTTCACAGACAAACGAACAGATGAAGTAGGGACAGCTATATTAATATATACAACTTTTGGGTCACAAATAGACTCAGTAAACTTGACATAATGCATTTTTGCACTGCAAGAAGTTCATATTTTTTCACACAAATACATTTTACAAACTAAGATGTTTGTGACGGAGAAAGAGACGCCAGGATAGTGATAGCAAGAACCCTTCAAAACACTTGTCATTATAACAAGTACTCTTGTTATAATGACTCTGAGCTACCTTTCTCTGCCTCGACTCAAATCTGATTACCTTCTATTCAGCAGGTGGGTTTAGCGCTTTACGAAAACACATGGAAAAGGAAATGATAGGACAGGTCGTGCATGAGACGTACCAGTCATGAAAGGTGCGCAGCGTCTGACACTCCAGCATCTGGCACTCCAGCATCTGACACTCAGTATTCCGTAGAATATCACCACTGCCTTGATGCAAAATAAAAACTATTATTATCTTTGAATAATGAACCGGAGTATCGTCAGTAGTAAAGGCAGCGTTGAAACTGTCATTCACAGGTTCTGCGTTAACACTGACTACTGCAGAAGGAGCACCCAGAGTGCAAGAGGAAGGTTTGTCAGTAGGGAGCTGGTCATTTTTTATATACACAGCCAGCGGGGAGCTGGTCGTTTCTTATATACACAGCCAGCGGGGAGCTGGTCGTCTAACCATACCACGGGTGGGGTTAGAACCCACGATCAGAGAGTCATAAAACTCCAGACCAACGCACTAGCCACTGGACCAGCTGGCTACAAGAAGATTCGTCTAAATAGGTATATTTATACACCATTGGAAGGTTAGCATAGGCACCACTGCAATTATGTCATTACGATTTCGTGAGTCATGAAGCTGGTAGTCTATAATATACACAGCCAGCGGGGAGCTGGTCGTTTCTTATTTACACAGCCAACGGGGAGCTGGTAGTATCTTATATACACAGCCAGTAGGGAGCTGGTCGTCTCTTATATACACAGCCAGCGGGGAGCTGGTCGTTTCTTATATACACAGCCAGCGGGGAGCTGGTAGTATCTTATATACACAGCCAGCGGGGAGCCGGTCGTTTCTTATATACACAGCCAGCGGGGAGCCGATCGTTTCTTATATACAGTCAGCGGGGAGCTGGTAGTATCTTATATACACAGCCAGCGGGGAGCTGGTCGTCTTTCGTCACCTTATATTAACACAGCCAGCGGGGAGCCGGTCGTTTCTTATATACAGTCAGCGGGGAGCTGGTAGTATCTTATATACACAGCCAGCGGGGAGCTGGTCGTCTCTTATATACACAGCCAGCGGGGAGCTGGTCGTCTCTTATATACGGAGTCAGCCTCACTAAATACTTTACCCTAACTCAATGACCGCTATTAGGTTAACTTGGTTACCGCTAGCGACGCTCTTGTTGCCGCTACAGTCACCACCACCCTATGCTCGCTCCTGTAACTAGTAGTAGTAGTACTACTACTGGTTACTGGTTGCTACTACTACTAGCAGTAGTAACAGTAGTAGTAGTAGTAGTAGTAGCAGTAGCAACAACAACAGCAGTAGTAGTAGTAGCAACAGTAATAGTAGTAGTAATAGTAGCACTGCCAGTAGTAGCAGTGGTAATAGTAGTAGTAATAGTAGCACTGCCAGTAGTAGAACCGGTAGCATTAATAGTATTAGTAGCAATCGTAGTCGCAGTGGTAGAACCAGTAGTAGTAGTAATAATAGTAGGCAGAAGTAATAGTAGTAGGTGTAATAGTAATGTAGTAGTTAGTAAAAGTAATAGTAGTTATTAGTAATAGTAGTTATTAGTAATAGTAGTTATTAGTAATAGTAGTTATTAGTAATAGTAGAAGTAATAGTAGTAGTTAGTAGTAGTAATAGTAGTAATTTATAGTTAGTAGTAGTATTAGAAGTAGTAATAGTAGTAGTGATAGTAGTAGTGGTAATAGTAGTAGTAGCAGAAGTAGTAATAGTAGCGGTAATAGCAATAGTAGTAGTAATAGCTGTCATTGTCAAACAGGAACATAGAATAGTCAACAAAAATATAAAATCAAAGTTAGAAAAGACTTTAGGTCCACTCACAAAGCTTTCAGAGGAATTCTTAAAACTAACTCCGCTCAGCTTAATGAGAAAAAAATAATTCTTTATCTATTAATTCCTGCCTACCGGAGTGGCTAGTTTGTTGTGCACCTCATGTCGGTGGAGCAAGAGTGCATGAATATGCAAAAGGCCTAGGAACTAGGCCTTTCTTGTATCTATATGCTCCAGCAATATATAAATTAAAGGTTAACAGGAGTACATCTGTATTTATATCTACAACTGACTTATCTGTTGGAAGCAGATTCGGGATATTTTCTTAGTATGTCTGTTATCTTATTTTCATTAATAAGATACCTTAGCACATCAGACAGTCGTACGAAAAATACAACAAGAAACAACAAGAGGACCTGTTCAAAAGAAAATTATGTGATAGTATAGTCATTAGATACAGTGCTACATAACAATTAGTCCAATCAAATTAAAATTAGGGTCATAGACGGAAACTACAAAAGCAGGTGAAGGACAGGAAAGTCAGGAAGTACTTCTTCAGCAAGTCCCTCCCAAAAAACTCACCACTAGTAATCTCTTTCTTAAATATTTTGCAAAGGCAACTGCCCAAGAAAAGAAATTCTTAACTGTGATTAATAATTTATCCG